TTTCCGCACCGATATCCGTGCGGAAAAAATTTCGCCGCACCTTGCGAGAAAATCGATTTTCCGCCCTGTTTAATTTTCCCCACTTTCGTAAAGAAATGTTTTGACGGCTCAAAGTAAACGATTTTGAGCGTGGCACCCGGTAATAGTATATTTCCTAACAAGTGAGGAAAAGAGACTTTCCGCACGAGTTAGGAACACTATTTTTTCTACGAGTTAGAAGGAACGTACCTACGTAATGTAAATTTTAACACCAATATTTGATAATATTTCTTCTTCAACACCTGGTATTAAAAACAAATCGAGTAATTTTTTCTTAATATAAATAAGGTATAGTCTGGCTAGCCAAACGGCGAACTCCAAAAGAATTTGCTGCTTTGCCAAACTTGACGGAAACAATGATAAACAAGTTGGTGACATATTTTTTTTTTGCTGTATGGGCATGTGTAGTATTTCGAAATAGAAAAAAATCCGGCACCATTGCGAAATGATGGATGTGGAGAGGCGTGATTATTCAGAGGCATGATTCTATTGGTTAGAGTCTGAACGACAGCACCAGTGACGTGGTTATTTGCGAAACTGGAGAATTTTTTTCAAATAATTTTATTGGTTTATTTCCTTGGTGTTTCCGGTGCCACTGAACCGAAAGACATGGCTGTCATCAGGCGGTGTCAGTGGATATTTTTAGGTTACGCCCCAGTTTTCTTCCCCCTTTCGTCTCTACCAAGTTACCACTTGCCAAACTATACTTTTACAAATAAAACTCATTTATTTATTAATAAAAAAAAAAAAAAACTAATTCTGAAATAATGTGCCTTATTCTGAAGACAATAAAATCGAGAACTTTTAACAATAATTTGTACTATGAAATTTTCGAAATTTTTAAGCATAAAGTAACCATTCTATAGTAATTTCAGAAGAAAAGTTGAGTTTAAACCAAAATAATTTAATAAATAACGTTATTGTGTCAATGATTCTCAATGCTGATATTTGTGTAAGTGTGTCAGCTCATAATTTAAAAATTGACATCTGTCACTTTTCCGCACTAGTGCGGAAAAGTGAAACTTTCCAAACTAAAATGCGTGCGGAAAAGTGTACTTTTCCGCACATTCGTAGAAAAAAAAAAGTTCGCCTCCGGCGGGCTGGCTTGGGCTGATTACCCCCCCCCCCCCCCCCCCAGACGTATGGGCTGGATACGCCGGTGATCTGTCTGCTCAAAGAATTCATTTTGCCATTGAAAGTACGTAGTCGTCAGACAGTGGTGAAATAAGTTGTTGATTTCCTCCGGAAAAACATCTCTCAGATACTCTAAGGCCTGATTTACTGGTACCTTAGTAAACAATGAGACGACATCAAAACTAACCAGAATGTCGTTTGGTAATAGAGTGATATCACTGATCTTTTTGATGAAATGAGTTGAGTCCTTGACATAAGAGCTGGATTGGCCAATCTGTGGTTGAAGGAAGGTGGTGAGGTATTTGGCTATGCTGTATGTGGGCGAATCTAATGCACTTACAATAGGCCTGAGTGGGTTGCCTGTTTTGTGAATCTTAGGAAGCCCATATATTCTAGGTGGTAAGGCCTCAGATTTAATGAGTTTCCTTATGTTTTCCGGCTCCAACGGAAATGATTAGTTTTTCGCAATATAGAAGCAGTGGGATTACGTTTCAGCTTTCTGTAGGTGGAGGGGTCTAGAAGTTCGGAAATTTTCGATTCATAGTCAGTCACGTTCATGATTACCGTTGCGTTTCCTTTATCCGCAGGCAGGACTAGCATGTTCTTGTCTGTATTCAGGCTGCGAATAGCTTTCCTTTCCTCGTATGTCAGGTTGCCAGTTCTCCGAAAAACAAAGACCCTTCCTTTCCGAGAACGAGACAAGGAAAATACCGTAATCCAAGCCACGCCCACAACCCTGGATATAAATAACGCAGTTCCCTCAACGTCGAATTCAGTCATCGGAGAAACACGGAAGAGAACACTTCGTCCTCTACCATACCGCCTCTGAAGATGTCTACCGCAGCAGTAGACGAAACGTTAGGTAGAAATACTAATGGACCACGGCATTATAGCCCGGAAAAAACTTTTTAACTAAAAATTGGAAAGTTATAAAATGAGTAATAATAAGGAAATATTAGCAAGATTATACATCTCACTGTACATTATTGCCATATGACACGAGAGGCCTAACAAGTGATAAGCCTTTTGGGATTATCGCGCTTGGTGCATTAAATATTAAAGTTATATAACTCACTGTACATTATTCCCATATATGACACGAGAGGCTCAATAAGTGATAAACCTTTTGGGATTATCGCGCTTGGTGTATTGATGTATAGTTCGTTGTATAATCTTTTGACTACCACTCAATGTTTCAGGATTACCTAGGAGGAGTGGTTTTGCTGGTAACGCGTTGAGTGTCAGGTAAAAGTATTATCCGGTAATCCTGAAACCTCTTGTGGTATTACATTCGATTATACAACTCACTGTACATTATTCCCATATGACACGAGAGGCTTAAGAAGTGATAAGCCTTTTGGGATTATCGCGCTTGGTGGCATTTATGGCAAATTCTATTATAGAATTTTTTTTTTCAAAGTATTAAAGTTTGGTTCGTTGTATAACCTTTTGAATACCACTCGAGGTTTCAGGATTACCCAATACTTTTACCTGACACTCAGCGCGTTACCAGCTCCTCCTTCGGAGTCGTGGTGTTGCTGCGTAACGAGTTTCGTGACAGGTAAAAGTATTATCCGGTAATCCTGAAACCTCTTGTGGTATTACATTCGATTATACAACTCACTGTACATTATACCCATATGATACGAGAGGCTTAAAAAGTGATAAGCCTTTTGAGATTATCGCGCTTGGTGGCAATATTTATAGCAAATTCTATTATAGAGAAAAATTAAAAATTAATAAGGTATTAAAGTTTAGATCGTTGTATAATCTTTTATCTACAAGCGTTTGGTTATGACGTTTTTACAAAACCATTTTTCTAGTATTTGAGTTATGTCATGAGACTCATAACACAACTAGTTGTGTTATGGATCTAGGTTATGAATTCATAACACAACTAGTGGTGTTATAGACTAGGTTATGAATCTATAACACAACTATTTTTGGTGATTCGACAAATGTCAAAGGTAAACCTGTGAAGGTAAAATTAAGGTGGACAACTACTAATAAACGAAAATAATTGCAAAAACATTCTTGTTTTTTGCTTTGTAGATAAAATATTGTACATCACACGTGCGTTTAAACATGACTACAAAACTCATGTGATTAGAACGACTCGGTCTACGACCTCGTCGTTCTAATCTTTCACACTCGTTATTGTAATCATGTTCATAAACCCACTTGTAATGTTGAATACCACTCGATGTTTTAGGATTACCTAATACTTTTACCTGACACTCAACGCGTTACTAGCAACACCACTCCTCCTTCGGAGTCGTGGTGTTGCTGTGTAACGCGTTTCGTGACAGGTATAAGTATTATCCGGTAATCCTGAAACCTCTTGTGGTATTACATTCGATTATACAACTCACTGTACATTATACCCATATGATACGAGAGTTCCTGTTTATATTTATCTATAAGGGTAAAAGAAATACCTAATTGCCCTAATCAGAAAAGTGATATCGCCGCATAGTAAAAGCGAAATGTGTAACGCGTTTCGTGACAGGTAAAAGTATTATCTGGTAATCCCGAAACCTCTTGTGGTGGTGGCTATTTTTTTAATTTTTATTCCTGACTCTTCTGTTTTTCTTCCAAAATTAATTTTGCTATCTTTTCGTTCAAGAGAAATCAAGAATTTAAGAGCCTAGCGTTTGGAATAGACAAAGATTGAAAGTTATAAACTGAGTAATATTCTATTATGTACAGGGTGTCCCAGGGAAAACAGGCCACGCCGATTTTTTTCGATATGAAATGAAAATCTGGAAAAACGCTCGAACACGCCGATTTTTGATTTGAGGGGGAAAATTTTTTTCAGTTTTTTTCATGCCCGTAGCTTCAACCCCGTAGCTAGGGGGAGAACAACCCCCCAAATTAGAATAGAGGATAGGGGTCGTGTCATACCTCTTTTTAAAGGTCTCATCGAGTTCTCTATGGCCCTAGAATTTCCTCACATTATTTTCATCCGTAACGAAATGACAGCTTGTCAAAATCTTTGAAATAGACTATTGTTTTAGTACGACTGAAAGCGGTACTTACCTCCCTTGATAAAAACACTTACAATTGACAATTCTCGTTTACACCTCATTGATAATAATTTTAAAAAAAAAAACTTCAATTTCAAGTTTTTTTATTAAGGGAGGTGAGTATCGCTTTTACTTCTACGTCTTTGATTCCACTAACACAATAGCATATTTCCAAGATTTTGACAAGCTGTCATTTCGTTACAGATGAAAATAGTAGGACGATATTCTAGGGCAATAAAGAACTCGATGAGACCTTTAAAAAGAGGTGTATCACGACTCCTATCCCCTATTAAAATTTGGGGATTCATTCCCCCTCAGCTAGGGGGTTAAAGCTACGGGGATGAAAAAAAAACTGACAAATAGTTCCCCCTCAAATCAAATCAAAAATCAACGGGTCCGAGCGTTTTTCCAGATTCGCATCCCAAATCTAATAAATCGGGTTGGACTGTTTTCCTTGATACACTCTGTATACTATTATTCCTGAAGACGTCTTTAGGCCCAGACGTCTGGAAGACGTTGATGGGTTTTGTAACACACGATATCTTTGAAATATCTTTGAGACGCCTTGAAGACGTAAGCAGGAAGCAGGTGTCTAAATGACGACTTGAATGTCGTTTGTGGACATCTTAGGGACGTCTTTAAGATGCCTCTGTGCTATCTGGTTAACGCTTGGCGTGATGAGCTAGTGGTTTATTTTTTTCAAATTTGTCTCAACATTTTCGTTTTCAAGCGTACCTATATCTATTATAAGCATTTCCTATACACAAAATTTTATTTATTATAATTTGCATATTATTGTTAATTACTTAAAAACTAGAAATTTCAAAAATACTATATTTACAAACAGGTACAAGGATGTTTTATACTAAAACTACACAACTAGAAACTGCAAAGAAAATTGAGCAAGAAATTCTCTCTTTCAAATAGTAAAATCGGAAATCTATTTTTTTCTACCCGAAATATATAAAACTAATTTACAGTTTTCAACTAATAAGAGAAATATAATTGTTTTGTCATATTTATTTATTAGTGAGGTGCTCCATATTGACTGCTCGGACTGGGACTTGGATAACTATAACCTCCTGAGCTTCCTGTAGGCATCAAAAAATATTTCAAATAACTAATAAATAGGGAGGCGAGTATTCTTACCTCCATTTGGTGGTCCGTATTGAGGTTTAGTCTGAGGATAAGTTGCTTGTCCTTCATATTTGACATCAGCATGGAATCCAGTTTGCCAGTCAGCCCAGTAAGTAACAATTTGGGTTCTACCGTCAGGAAGAGCCACTCGGTACTCGCCTCTTACTTGACTACCATCGCTGGCCTCTTTTTGATTGAAATTTGATCCTGAGTAATCGTCTTTTACTCTATAGCCGAATTCATAGGCCTGAGGCTACAATTTGTTACAATCAAACGTGAGAATCTTTTAAAATAGGAATATTAATTTGGCATACAATAGGTTTCACAGGAAAGCTAATTTAAACTAGATTTATTATAGCCGAGTAATTGAAGATAAATAACATCGTTAGGAAATGGTTGTAGTTCTCTTGAAATTACGCAAATTTTATTTCAACTCATCATTAAAAAAAACATCAAATACTTAAATACCTGCAATAAATGTTCCTGTTTATATTTATCTATAAGGGTAAAAGAAATACCTAATTGCCCTAATCAGAAAAGTGATATCGCCGCATAGTAAAAGTGAAATGAAATTAATTTTTTTCATTTGCAACTAAATACATATTTCTTTTGCAGGAAAAGAGCCTGGCGTATCAGTAAAGTTTCAATTATGCGTGCATCCTAGTAGTCATTAGGCTGATTAGTACCTATATTGATAAAGTGAAATTGAAATTTCTACTAAACACATTTTTTACCTCCTCGTATCCTCCATTTCCATGACCTCCTCCGGTACCGTGACCTCCTCCTCCATAGCCTCCACTGCCTCCTGAAGGTGCTCCATAACTTTGACTTGGAGCTCCATAAGATGTTGGAGGTTCGCTAGAAACGAGGACGGCAAAACCAAGGAAGAAAATTGCAATAGCCTAGAAATAACAAATTTAATTTGAATTCTTGATGGCATTCTTTTATAGATTGGAGGTGTTTCTTCAATTTTACAATAGACCTCCAATTTTCTTTTAAGGAGTTTTTAAAATAGGTACCTAATGTTGCTTCAATATTAGAATCTACGAGCTCTAAAAAAATCATTTGGAGAATGTAAATGTACAACTACAAAAAACTAAAATTAAAAATATGTATATTCTGGGTTGGTCTACTCCAATAGTTTTAGATATTTTATGTTAACTTTTAAAAAAAATCTTCACTTACAGTATTCATAATGTATCCAAACTAAATCCCTTATTAACACTGAATGTACACTGCAACGCAAACCAACCGTAACCGTGGTACTAACAAGAGTAGCAGTTAGATGCACCCGTCTGCAAATAAGCTAAAAATGTAGATACGCAAAGAGATCTATGTGTGTGGGAACGTTAAAAAATTATTTGGTTTATATACCGACGTTTTCTTTATATTTGGCAATCTATTGTGCAGATCTAGATGGATGAGGCAATCCACGGTCGCTTTTACTCCAGGTTAAATCCCACATATTTGGCTTGGTTGCCCCTAACATTGCAAATCTTTAATGATATGGGGGAGAATTATATAGATATGTAGATATATTTTTTTTGTGCAATAATGTGATTTCGTTTTATAACTCGGGTAAAATCTTATCTGGGTACGTATCTGAAGAATTTTTCTTATCGGATGGGAAATTTTGTTTTATAAAAGAAACCTTTAACTGAGTAAACTATAATTAAAAGTTCAGAAATACAGCGTTTTCAAAAATTTTGTTTTTATTAGGGTCGGTGAGACTTGTTGGAATACAATATCATTAACAATTTCACGGACATTGGATCAGTGTTATAATTGAAAGCATTCTTGAACAAAATCTTTTTGAACTTTAGATAATCGAGTTGTAGGTTTTCGCAGGACCACACTTTTGTACGCATCCAAATACTTGGGTAAGTACAAAGCACCCTGGAAGCTAACTTAAAAATCGAAAAGGTTCAAATTTTGTGTCCCAACTGCTAGGAACTACGCTTTAAGAAAGTGCCAACCAACCTATCGACTAAACATATGTTACTCATACTTTATAATAACCTAATTCATGTATACAAAAATAGAAGTATATATAGAGCTGAAAAAAAAATGCCCAAACCATATGCCTATCGGGAATGGCCAAAATCGGTCAACCATATTGCATTCTGTTACTTTTCAGCATTAAATGGAAATATCATGGAGAAACTAAGAAAAAACTGGAAAGTAGAAGTTGACAAAGTGACCTATGTAGGTATGTGGAAATACAAAAATATAAAACTACGCAGTTACAAAAAAATTGTGGTGGAAACGAATGCAAGAATAGTAAATCTTTAACCAGCCATTTTAATGTGAAATGGATAAAATTTATGTCCCAATTGTTCTCTGAAGAAATTATTGAGACCAATTTGGGCATACGTTCATCGCTTAGGCTCAGCACAAAAATACTTCTCAACCTAATGATATATAAATTACCTACTAATAATCATATGACATAAATAAATGAAAAATTTACCATACATGAATGATAATATAAATTCGATTAAGGATAAGAAAGGTGAATCACATAGAAAACAAATAAAGTGAGTAAGTACCCAGGTATGTGTTATCCTAGTTAACACAGGTAGGTAATCATTACCCTGAGAATTTTATGGATGTAGCAATTTATTGCGAACACACTCAAGTATAAGTATACATATGAAGAAGCCAATTGTTATACAATATCAATTAAAACATTACCTTATTATTTGTTTTGATTGTAGAGTGTAGGAGAGAATCATTGTGTGATTTTTCTCTGCTGAAAAGCTGATGATTTATACTTAGTCTTTGTTTGATAATTGGATAATTATTGTACCTACATATCATATACCTATTTGTTATGATTTTAAATGTTGATTTAGTTAAGTACCTACTATAGATTTCTTCCCACATAATTTTGGTTACGAAACGTCACATTCTCAACAACTTTTATTGCTCTCTGTAATTGGATCGTTCAATTTGTTTCTCACGATATTTTTTTGGCAATTTGACCTAGACTATTTCCTTTTAGGCCAAGAAAGAGAGGTTGAAACTCGCAAACTCGACACAAGTTCTGTTTTTTTTTTTCTGGTAGGACGAGGGCTGCTTATTATGGGTCTACTTTATCCAGCAAAATTTCTCCCTGGAACATCCCCTTAAAGGTCGTTTTTATTTTGGTTTTTCCGAAACTCACCGCTTTCGCTACGTGTTACAACAAAATACCTTCATAGTAAATTAAAGAGGACTAAATGCTTTACAATTTACCCAACGACAGCATTTGTCTATCACCTACCCTTTAGCCAGGGTGGGGCTCTAAAGTTGAATGACCTCCAGGAAAGATGTTTTGAGATTTTTTTTTTTTTTTTGACCGAACAATAAAACGAATTTACCACAAACTATGCAGCAACTACTCATAAATGATTTGCCGATTTTTTGGTATAAGTTTTATTTAAAAATATTCACCTCTTTTAGATATACATGGTGTTTTAATTTAAATAACCCCCTTTCATATCATCTGAAGGGCTTATGCTAGGCTGTTCAAATTTTCAGGGATTAGTGATGTAGGAATGATATTAAAAAATTCATAGAATGCAAATTAAGTATATATACCAATTATATTTTATGCAATTTAAGTTCTAAGTTCCAACCAACAGTGGCGACAGCTTGTAGTAGTTCCCACACCCCCCAACGGTGGTACTCTACCTTAAGAGGCGCGGTTCTTTATTGTCCCCTGTAGGCCTACACACGTTAATAATGTATGTATTTTTTTCATCTCATCTCCTCGGTTTTGGAAAGTGTATTTAGTGCGCTACTGACCAATGTGAAACAATAAGCTAAAACAAATAGTTATTTATACAAGGGAAAAAAGTACTAAATTTTAGCGCGAGGTGTGGTTTGTCTTCCGACGCGAAGATTCTATGTCCAACTTCAGTAGTGGTATTATGGTTTGTGGGGCTACAGTTTTGATTCACGATAAAAAAATGACCTTTGTAACTGTTCACAAACCACCCAATGTTCCTACAAACGGAAGGGATTGGAATAATCTTTCCTCCCAAATCCAAAAAATTTTAATGCTCATAACAGTGCCTGGGGCTCGGTTGAAAATTGTAAGGTGGGTGAACAGATATTAAATATCATAGAAGATTATGACCTTGTATTTTGACATACAAAACCGGTGTTATTGGGATATTGACTCCGATTCCTTGGGCCCTGATTACTATCCAATTGTTATAACTATGGATTTTATAGAGACATCTCAAGGACGAATTTTCCCAAAAATAAAATGGAATACTAAAAAGGCTAATTGGGCTTTATTTTTTTTTTTTTGAAAAATAACTTTATTTAAATTCTTAAATTACATCACAATTTATGATCTCGATTCTCGAATCAGTACAAAAGCTGTAAAAGTACCTAGTGGTCTCGAGAGTCTCTTACTACGTTTGGCACAGTGTTAAGGTTGGCTTAGGAACATAATACAATATCACTTTTAGTTACATATATGGTTAATTAATGAGCTTTTAGATACATTCTAGCCTATACTTAAACCTATTAAAAGGGACTATAGACTTAATGTTTTCTGGTAATTCATTGTATGCCCTAATTGCACTTGTTTTGGGTTGTATAGACCTATAATGTTTGTTCTACTCTGTGTTACATACAATTGGTCTTGGAACCTTGTATCATGAGTGTGAATCTCGTTTGCATGCACAAGCTCTGTGTAATATTGGATAAAAAAACTCTCTTGGAAACATCACATTGATTATCTAACCGGACGTTGTGAAAAAGGTTTAAATTTTTTGCGTCAGTCACCATATCTTGGTGGGGATGTGATATCACAACTGCGCTACTTTTTTATAAATCGTATATAAGATCCATACTTGACTATGGTAGTATCCTATATGGATCTGCTAGTAAAACCAATTTTCTTAAAGTTGATCGTATTCAGTTTAAGGCTATCAGGATCTGTCTTGGTGCAATGCGTTCCACTCCAACGGAAGCGATGTTGGTTGAACCTCTGGAGCCACCTCTAAGCTCAAGAAGAGAGATCCTCAGTACTGAATTCTTAGCTAAACATACATTTTTAACACCGATCTATGTAACAGTATATGTAAATGGAGTATATCTGATCTTGTAAGTAAGTACTCATCTCTACTCTGCCATTATGTGAAGCCATTAGAAATTACAACAATCTACTAAATACCATATCAACTTTTATCTACTTAAAATATGAATATCAATAAAGTACCTATGAAAAAATCTCAATCAAATTTCCAAAATTTACAAACGACCAGAACATTAATAAAAATATTTTAAACGCAGAGCTTGAAAACTACAAGGATTCAATACTTATTTATACGGATGAAACCTTGGTCAAACAAAACTAATCCTGCTTTATGGAGCATTCGAAAAAGCTACAGACGCAATATGATGAGCATAATTACATTTCTTTTCCTTTCTATGGGTTAAAGCACATCAGTGGAATTGAAGGAAATGAATTTGTACACGATTTTGCAACAGACAGTATTAAGGATGGGTCTCCTACAGAAATTGATCTTGTACTGAGTGATGCAAGTGTTCATTTTAAATCAGTAATAAATCATAAATGGAATCAGACATGAAAAAGTTACTGTAGAAATGCTCCTAAAAAGTAATCTATTTGTTTCAAGTATTACCTCGAGTATTACAAATAAATATTGGCACCAAAATTACGTCAGCAGAAGATATATTGCAAGATTAACTCTAAAGTTTGGGCATGCTTGTTATCCAGTTCATTTAAATAAAATAGGTGTTCTACCCTCTGATCAGTGTAAAGTGTGCCAAGTAAGAGGAGACCTTGATCACAATCATGACATTTTCATTGTCATTCGCGAAATTGCCAAGCAACAAACTTTTATACCAGTCCAAAATTTTGCCAGCAAAATTTTTTCTCTTGTGGTATTATATATGATAATATGTCAGAGAATTAAATCAAATACCTATGTAATTACCTGTAGAATTCGAAGGTGAATTTTCACATTTACCTCTTCATATTACCAAGAATAATGCTGAAGAATGATTTTTCCAATTATTTTTCTATAGGGCTTCTTAAAGGGTCCCCTATTAAGTGGAGAACTTTTACGCTATTTTTCGGACACCCTGTATTTATAGTTTTTATTTTTATATTACAACGGAAGTTCAAACTGCCACAGTGAGAAAGCAGTTATTCAAAGAATGAAAAATCATAGTAAAGGGTATCCGTGATGTTTGAAAAAATATGAACGTCAAATTAAAAAAAAAAAAAATTCGGGCAAAACAGTTTTTGACAAAAGAATCACCCTGTAATTTTTTTGTGAATTAATGGAATGCTTTCTACATACTTTATCTTCAGATCTAACTTCCAGTTTAGCCGAAAGTGCTTATGCTTTAAACATTTTTTCAAATTGATCTCACTA